ATGGTACCGCTCGTGTCTATAAGCGACGGTTACCACTTTCCATCATGTGGACCGTCAGCTTGTTTGCCATTCTAAGTTGTATAAAAAAAAATGTAAAATGTGTGTTTTTAAAAAAATAATATTGGATAACAGACTTTTAACATATTTAAAAATAGATATACGACAGATATGAGCGATATCGAAATGGGTGATGACCTTTTTTCCACCATTAATGTCCAGAATAACTCAATATATAGATATCGGGTTTTAAACATATTACCTATCCCTAATATTATATATAAAAATTATGAATTAATGTGTACTTTGCCTCTAACATGCTAAATGAGTGAAGTGAGCAAATTGAACTTGGCAAAACACTTATTCAGGATAAAATTGAAGGTAATTACTATGTAAAGTCATTATATTTCGCTGACTTTGACGTTTAGTTTCGTGATTTGGCATACGGGAACGCGTAATGAGAAAACAGAATATATGTATACAGTTTTGTTTTCTCGTTACTTTGTTCTTAAACATTAACAAATACGTGGTTTTGTAGTATAATGTAAATGAATACTATAAAGAGAAAGATTTTCCTTTTACAATTTTGAAAATCGATTAAATATTTTCATTTAATTGATTTTGAAAATTCATTTATAGAAAGCTGGTTCTTTTGCTGATATCCTCATTTCGGATTCTGTCACTTAAAAAACTCTGAGCATAGCCTTCTCCATAGCTCGCTGAGTAATTTGAAGTTTTTGCATACGAGCAACCATGTAGGACCATGTTTCAATTCCATAGGTTATCACTGGTAACACGTACTGGTTAAAGACCTTAGACATTAAACTTTGAGGTATTTTGGATGAGAAGATGTGTCGTAGTTTTCCAAACGCTGAACGAAAATAAATTACATATTTCACAAATATATGAGGATATTCCAGATTTATGATATCCACGCTAAAGTAGACCAAGTTTACACTTTGATATAGACTAGACTGCAAGTCCTAATGCAATTAAGAACAGTTAGAAGCTTTCAACATGCACGTAATGATATGTCATTGCTTGTCACATAATATATATATATATATATATATATATATATATATATATATATATATATATATATATATATATATATATATATATATATATATTGTTTTTTAGTTTTTAAATAATTAAGGTCGATAATTTAAAATAAACCAAATCATTTTAGCAGTCTAGTGATCCTAAGATCTTATGACCAATACTTAAAGTTGACAGAAAATTACGTAGTACCGTGGATATTATGAAATATACTGTGTCGTTAAATTTTATTTTTATATGTATTTGTCCAAATAAACAATTTGTATGTATAAAAAGGCTACCAAAAAAACCGATTCGAAAATTTATCATCTTTCGGTATTCCAATGTATAATATTTTTTAACAATTTTCGTAATTGCTTCCACAGCTTTTTATGAATTTATTGATTTACCATAGAATAATTTTACGAATTTACATATTATTGTATGGTAGAAAAAATACCTACGTGTAATATTTATATACATATATATTTAATTACAAATTAATTAGTTTCTTTTACTTTTAAAATATATTTATTTTGATATCATTTATTTTAACATCTTCATAAGTAAAAAATATGACTGGTTTTGTATTTTTTTATTATAAGATTTTCTTATTACAATTCATATACAAAGACAACAAGGCATATACAACTTATACAACGTACTTACATTAGATGCAAAAATTGTTTGCCAAACAAAGATTTCTACTCAAAGGGTTAAACAGACATGTTACGTTCAGCTTTCTCAAATATGAAACAGAATTGTACATAATAAAACACTATGAAATAAAGGGATTGGGCCTTTGAAGACACCATTTACTCTATTATCCTTAAGTAAAGACCCGTATGTACTCTGTAATGTTCATTTGAGTATTCAGTACACCAAAGTAAGGGACGTACGGGGTTTGACAAGGCGTATTTAGAGTAGTAATGTTGGAGCCATAAAAACGTTTTCTTAATTTTTTTGTATGCAATTTAGAATGGCAACCAAGCTGACGGCCCATCTGATGGAAAATAATAACCGTCGCCTATAGATATGAGCAGTACCATAGACATAACTGTGTATACTGTTTCGCTCATAATCATACCCTCCCATGCGTTGCCATTCCTGAGGACTCGAGTATTATTCCTCTGTACCCTGTAAATTAATGTTATGCCATTAATATAATTAATTATAAAGTTAATAATGTATTGTAAGCGTATGTGTTTGTTTAACAGTACTTATGAATGTATTTTTTATATTACTTTATTAATATACATTTCATTATCATCATCATCATATTAGCCATTATCTTTTCATTGCTGAACATATGTCTCCCTTATAGACGCATGGTAGTCTACAACATTCCTAAGACTCCTGCATCCCCTTACTCCCTACAATGCATTTGAGGTGGTCGCTCCATTTAGTGGGGGGTCATCCTACACTGCGTTTGTCCGTACAGGGTCACCACCCAAGAATCTATCTTTCCTATTGGTTGTCTTGTTGCAATTCTAAATAAAAAGAACCTTAGCGTTTTCTAAAGACAATTCAATCCTTTTGGCAAATATTCATTTTTATGATACTTTAGGCTTATGATACTATACTTTAACAAGCTGACGGCTTACCTAATAGGAAGTGGTAACAGTCTCTTACAGAGATAAACAGCTCGATTGATATCACAAAATACATTGTAATGCTCACGATGCCTCTCATGCGTTACCATTCCTGAAGACTGTAACGTTGTACTTCTATACCCTATTACTTTACTGCCATATCATATATATAACTTGTATTATAAGACAATATCATTTTACTTAGTTATTTTCTGTTGTACATTTTTGATTACTCGATAATAGTGCTTATAAATATTAAATAAATAAGTATTATATTGATGTTGATTTCACTTACGATCGAGTTAAGCCGACTACTTATTGTCTTGATAAGATTATTAATATTTTACCATTATTCGTTGTTCACGTCTCACGACTATTGCAAAAAGACATTATTTTTGTTTATAGTCAAAACTTTACTTGTGCAACTTGTATGTTTTCATTTTCTCCGCTCATTTCAAAGCTCCACATAAGATGCGCTGTTCAAGTCCGGGAGACGCGTATTTATTGTTTGGGCAATCAAGTTGAAAGCTCTCTGTAGAACTTCAACAACACGTCTCGGCAGCGAAACTTGCTATGAACTCTACTTGTTTTCTCTAAATGCTGTGGCTCCTATTATGATATTTGTCTTCATTTGCAAACGTGGAAATAATTGACGGTCTTTGTAGAATAGCACTTAAGTTTACCGCGTCCTTAAAAACCAAATTTGTACTTGAAAATAATTATTCGGAAGACTCATGGTGCAAGAAAAACTTGTTTCAGTACTGGACATACCTATTTAAGTCTCTAACAAAGCCACTAAGTAAGTTTGCCATTAATCACCCAATGTGGCGTAAGTCCAACAATTGTAAGGCGACTTACGATGAAGACCTATTATGTACGCCATCTATTGAACCACAACCACTTTGACAAGAGTGATCGACAACGGTGAAGGTAAATACTTCGAGTCAATTAAGTTTTGGATTTGATCCTTGGGTTCGTTTCAAAACGAACTTTGTAATTTCTGTAGATACATTGTCGGACCTTTCATAATACAAAATGTTACAATTCCAAATTTGGTTTTTATTCAAGACAGATATGCTGGAGGTCTACCATGAAATTAAATTCCAAATTTTCGGACTCAGTTTCGTGTTTTTATTCATAGCGAAATCGGCTCAGTAAATTGAGCTTCACATTTCGTTAGTCATAAATCCTACCATAATGGTCCAAGGAAACGATATTTTAACATTTTTAATATTTTTAAACGGTATGTGTTATGTAATTTAACACCAAATTTCTATTTCGGTCGGCCCCAAAATTTGAGAAAATATAACATGGAAGGCCTTCTTTTACACAAAACATTTACTTGTTTATTTTATTTATAATGTTTGTAAAGAATTATAAACAAACAATTAATGTCTGTAAAAAAAAATAAAGTTACACTGAAACAAAACATATACAATGGCAGACTTATCCTTGTAAGGGATTTCTTCTGTCAACCGTTGAAAATCGGATTGCATGTGTAAGGTGCTGGAAAAAGGGCTAAAAGCTTATGAAAATTATAAAGAAATATGTTACCGACGAAATACTTAAGAAGCACGAAGAAAATTGTTTTAATATTTTTTTTTAAACAAAACAAACAATTGAATTTCCCAATATTTAATATTTTGTAAAAAATCCCTACTTAAAAAATGTGGTAGTTATATTATGTTTTATCTGTGCTTTATATCCGTAACGGTTGTTCCAATATTACTTCATATGCTAAGTGGCGTAAAGGGCATAAATGTCTCACGAGCCTCTTTTATTTGAAATGGGAAAGCTTTATTTTACAAAATTCTTTATGGCAGCAATATCACCAGTTTCATTGGGGTTTTATTATCAGTATTGTGAGTCGTTGGATTCTGGCATTCTATTTGTTTATACATATAGTAGCTTAAACATTTTAAATATAAATATACAAAGAATATTTTAGATTTTCAAGATGTACATTTTAGTAATTTCGTGTTATTTGCGCGTTACAAATTATTATTAATAAAATTACAATTAAATAAAATAAATTAATAAAAATTATAACCTATAGATTGTATATATTATTTCTGTCTTAATTTATTTTCTCAATTCGTTTGAATAAGTACCGCTATCCCATTAGTATATCAGCCACCAAGTGAGAGTAAAGGTAGTAAAATTTACTATTGGTTATACACAGTATCATAGCACTATAACCTTCAGCAATAAAAACGAATATGATGAGACATACACGGAACCATGGTCATGGGCGACACAGTATATTTGATTTTGTCTATGGAGATGTGTATATCGTACGCATATTATAATGTACTTACAAAATATTTTTAAGGTTAAATGTAAAATAAATAAATTGTCATTGGTTTCCAGGTTGTAACAGAACCTACTACGGCGATATTGGTCGGACATACGAATTAGAACTACACCGACCGAGAGAAGATCTCGTTCCGTATGTGTGTCTGATCACCATCACAGCACCTGGTGGAATTCATGGTGATTTAGTTCAGGTTAGTATGTATTTATTTTACAATTTAATTCATAAGGCTTAATAAATTAAAATTTATTACAAAGATTAGGTATGCGAAATAATCGTCTCATTAACCCAATTTGCTCTGTGTTATGCAGAATTCAAATTTGTTGTGATTAATATTATTCAATATTTAAATATAATTAACGAAGTAAGCCATCCAAATACGCGTACATAGATTCAAAATATACGTAATATTGAAATTGGGGTATCATGAACAAATAAAGGAATGTAATATGCGTACCCTTTCTACAATAATGATATCTATATTTCTGACTCCTAAAAGGGGAAGGTTCTTTCATCTGTATTTTTGTGAATAATTTACGCAATATCTTCACAAATTCCGAACCGAATTTGATAATCCTTTGATAAACGATAGGGTTTAATCCAGTGTGGGTTTCTTACTGATTTTAGTAATATCGAAGTAACTGTTTTTACACATAAACAATAGACTGTATGAAGTGACTAAAAGACGAAACTGTGCTAAATTTATTTTACCAGTGTTTTCTTCTTGATTTTCTTGTAATTTTTTTTGTAAACTCTTTTAATTTTTGAAATCGTTTAAAAATTATGTGTCAATTGTGAATTATTTAGTTTTTACATATAGGGACGTAATAGTGATACAGAGATTTTATTTAGCTATCAACATTATTATATAAGCGTTTAAATGTGCACTGTTGAACCTAGGCCTCCCTTCATTGGGAGCTTTTGTCAGTTGCCACGCATGTAGACGGGTTGGCTTTGATAATGTTTAAAGAGATATATTATTATTATCATCATTTCCTTGCCCTAATCCCGATTATTTGGGGTCGCAGTAAAATGATTTTATTCGTATTACACAGGTTTTGGTTTTGTTTTTACGGCCCGTCTGCCTGACGTTAATCCTTTTTAGGAATGCATTTATTGGTGGTAGCTTCAGTATGGAGAAAAGGATTGAGGAGAAAAGAGGATGACGTTGAGAGAGAGAGAGAGAGAGAGTAAAGGAAGTCGGTAAAAAAGAAATAAAGGATTAAAAAGGAATAAAGGCATATTATTATAGTACTTAAGGTATGAAAATGCAAAAAATTGGCAAAATTTGAGAGTAACTGTTGTACTTACTCTTGAAACTTCCAGGGTTTAATCCAAAAGTTTATTGCAGTTGATTTTATTTTCCGGTTCATTTATATTTTACTACCAGCTCTATTTAATTCTCAGCCGGTCGTTTGTTAAAGGAACAACGACTTCCCTTTAATTTGCATGTCATTAAACGAGTTAGGTATTACTTATCGAACTTTTCGACTTTCTTCTGTTACTAGGTATTTCGTTTTTAATTCCCTTTACCTTTAATTATCAGTTAATCACAATTACAGTGAAGTTTCCAATAAAATTTCTTTTTAAGCGACTTCACAGGGACTTTACAGGGAGGGGGTTTTTAATTGGCATTTTTTGTGTGTGTTTTTTGTGATTTCTTAATCAATTCTAAACTGATTTTGTTAATGTATTATGGAATACACGATGAAAATGATATTTTTTATGCAACTTAGCATGAAAAAACAGCTGATGGCTAGATGAAAGTAATAGAACAGCATCTATGAAAGACCAAGAAAGGAACAAATATATTGTAGCCGTATTAATTCTAACTCATATTTTCATATAACAAAACCTTAAATAATACTAACATCAATGTTACCTTTTTACTCACGTTTTCTTCTCATAAATATAAATCTAACACTAAAAGTACGATTTCATAAAAACAATAAACAACAACAAACCACACGTCTATTTTTTTAAATAAATCATTTAATGGATAATATAGAAACGAGAAACAAACGAAAGAATCACATTAGAAGAGAGTAGGTTAACTCCGTGTTCTACTTTTCTGAACTAAATCTCGACAATCCCACAAATAAGGTAGTCCGATAAAATCCGAAAGCTTATTGACTTATAGGAACTGCTTTGATCATTCAAAAAACAATACGAGTAGTATATGTATACTGCAGTTCTCTCTGTCTGCTCTTAAAAAAATAATGTACATAAATAAATTGATATTATATTTCAGCAGTATGACACCCATATCCAAAGAGAAAATTATTTGGAGTTGATTGTTATTAGGAAATTAATAGATAGTGCAAAAAAAACTATACCTATATAACAAATTCTGTGCAGAATTGCAGAATATCTATGCGACAGTCTATTTGGTACAAAAAGTTAAATTAAGAACATTCATTTTTTAAAGTGAGCTGAAAAGAGAAATAAAACATGATCTAAGTTGATAGAAACGTCATTCACAAGTCAGCAAGTTTTCATTGTAAGTTTCATCTGTTATGGCATCGAAACAGGTCAACCGTTCTTTTCACGCGTTGACCGGAAATTGTGTTTATTTCTTCAACACAATATGTCTCACTATTAGTTTGCTCACCGCTTTCAGTAAATAGAAACATTAGCTGTTTGTGCAAGGGTGATATGAATTCACAAGGGGTACACAAATGCTCCAAATTCTACTAAGTTTATAAGTGCAAAAGTTTGTAAACGTATTTCGATGTTTGGTACTCAATAATACTTAAATGTTTGTTAAGAGTGTTTTGGCTACAACGTCCGTTTACCATCAGAAGGGCCGTATGCTCGTTTGCCACCTTTGTAGTATAAAAAAAAAGATTTAAATGAAAATTCACACATAGCTAATACATTATAGTAAGTAGGTAATTTTTTTATCATTTTACAACTAGCTGCTATTACTTTTTTACCTTTATAAGAAATATAGAAGTTTAAATGGATGTCATAATGTATTATATGATGGTATCATATGAACGTAATAGTTGAAGGATGGGTTGCACTGCTGTTGTTAACCCGCATGTCAATCTTGGCAATACCCCTCAACAGAAAGAGGTCTATATTCAACAGTCGACAACTAACGTCTGATATGGTATAGATATGGTGATGTTTATGTACAGTCGTAAATTACCACTTTCCATCAGGTGGCCCGTCAGCTTGTTTGCCATTTTCAGTTACATAAAAAAATCATTAAATATTTGCTTATATTAAAACAAGATTACGATCTCATAGTATTTATTATATTATTCTCCAGCATAACTTACTATTATCTTAGTAAACATAATACACGAGTATTACGTGTAAACTAATATAAAATCTTCTTGAATGAAATAGTTTTTTGTGATTTGCCAGTGACTGAATTACATTTCGTATATATGTAATGGATTTGATATTATTTCATAAGGCGAATTTATTAAAATGTAGGCTGATTTTGTGTTCAAGTTACCGGAGTTCCATATCGTAATTTGATATAATTTTCAGGTCCGTCGCTCTCACAAATGGACCGTGTACCGAGGGATCGAATGTCTCATATTTTCCTCAACTTTATAAGATATAGATCTATTTTTAAGACAAATACCAACTCTTGGTCTAATAACTGAAACTTGTTTACTTCTTTTCTGACCTTTCGTTTAATAGCTAACGCTCCTTAGGTAGGAGTTTCGTGAATTTATTACTTCACTAAATCAAATCCGACTACTTTTTCATTTCCAACTTTTTATACGGTTAATAAAAAATCATAAAAATTGTTTAATATCTTTCAAGTTTTTGGAAACTAACAAGTAGCAATTCGCTGTTTTAATTACGTTAGATATTACATATTTTTCAATAGTTTACAGTATTAAAAAAAAATTAATTCAATGATATATTATGGTTTAGATGACTTAACTAGACTATCAAAATTGTAACTATAGTTGTAGTATTTTAAAAACAATTTAAATAATTATGATTAACCAGTTTTTACATGTTTTACATTGTTTCCATGAGCGGATATATGTCCCGCGATTAACCGGGATAATATACAGTATGTTTTTGTCCATTGGAAATAGTACATCTACGCCACATTTTATGACAATTGGTTGTTGCTATTTAGTTGCCAAGAAGCACTAATAAACATATTTTTAAGTATAATATTGCCAGAAATTTTATAAAGTTGAATATATATAATATACAAGTAGAAATATTCATATGTTGCTTATTTTAAACTTTCACGTTATCAAATATTTCACACTTTCACGTTAACAAATATTTCAAATACACTTTAGGGACTTAACGCGATGCAATTGCAGGTAAGTAGTAACTACATTTCTGATTTTGATACATTACATTTTATTCTAATAACTACAGATTGAATTTACGTGTAATTAGATCTAGAAACTCAATTAGTTTCGGTATCAATTCCTGATCCTTAGTCATAATCAACTGTGACGCGAGTGCGAGCCTGACTGTTAATTGATTGAATAATTTTTATTGCTGACATTTTGACGTGCATTACACCACGTCGTGGTTACAACAGGACTGAAATAAGCGGCATCTTCTTCTGGCAGTCCACGTAGTTTCTTCGGCCACCCTCACATATAAAAATCAGGTATATGGGTACTATTTACCTACAATTGCGTCGCATTATGTCCCTATTGTGTATTTAAAATATTCATATATATTAATGTATATTACTTGCTTAGAAATATTATATATTCAACATCCTCCTGAACCTTCCGAATGAGTTGACGACCGTCTCACATTATGCAAAGCTTTCACAAAATTAATTTTCATTCATTCCAAACTCGCATATCTGAAATCACACTTCCACCGTAACTACAAAGTTGGGATTTCAAATCTCGCTGTGCAGAAATGGGGCTTCTAATTTAGGATTTGCTGAAGCATGCCTGTGAATAGTTTAACGTCGAGTCGCTTAACAAATATTCGGTTCATATGCACTGATAGATTTCGGATACTGGATTATTGATCATAAAGGTAGATAACTCTCCAACTAGTACAGAGTTATTTTCAATGGACTATTAGCTTTTAAACTGCTTCAAATAACTGTGAAATGGATTTATGAACAATCTACCGAGTCAACTAGAATACTTTAATTTAGGAAACAGTTATGTATAATTTTATGAATGGTAAACAAGCTGACGGCCCATCTGATGGAAAATGGTAATAGTCACCTATAGACATGAACAGTTCCATTGACACAACAGAATATACCGTTTCGTTCATGATACCATCCATGCGTTACCATTTCTAAGGACTAAGGTGTTATGCCTTTAAACCCTGTAAATTCATTGCCATATCTCTCCTTTAAAACCGAAACATAGCCATGTAAACAACTGCTTCACGATAGAAACACGAATGGAATAGAGTTACAGAGAATCCAAGCAAACGATTATTAAATATTAATATTAAAACTAGTAAACTTCACAGACGTTTTTCTATTTAAATTTCATTGTTTGTTTTTTTATTTTAATTCTCTGGAATTTTTAATCGGAATATTATCGGCATTAAAAGAAAATTAGTGAAATCAGTCTAAACGTTCTTAAATCAAGTATTTGAGAACAAGTATCGCTTTATTTTTGTTCATATAGATAGTTAAATTATATGGACTATTCAAAGGTTATTGAGTAATGACATATCTCTACATAGTTTATTCGGAGTTCTCATACAGAAGTGTATTGAATAAAAAATCTAAAAATCTATTTGCAATGCTGTACATGCAGCTAAATAAAGTACATATTTTATTACACTACATGTGAAAAATTCAACATTTACCTCATACACATAAAATTTTGCCAATCTTTAGTATTTCTTACTTCTCGTTTACTAAGGAAATGTTACTAAATTTCCTTCGTACAGACAGATGTCATATAAACTTCCAATGCTGATAAGATTGAATAGTTTAACGAAATTTCTCGACTTTTGTATGTACCGATATTTTGGGTAAGAAAGGTCATAATCACCACAGGCAAAACTGATTTAAGTGAATTCAACAATTTAACGCTCTTTATTTAGTATATTGTAATAAAATTATTTTCTAAAGTAAATATAAATTTTACACATCAATATTAAGTTGAGCTTACTGCAATCATAATAAAAAGAAATGCCATAAAAGCAAGCATAATTCCCAATTTTTATCTGATACGAGTATAATGTGATTATATTATATTAGAAATTACAATCTATATTATAATACACATCGTTATAAGTAAATTGACTAAAATTCGTATTTATTCGTATTAAGAGGTTATTCTTTTTTATTATCATAAATTATAGCTTTAATAATAATCGCATGAGATAATAAATTATTTTCACTTGTATCTCTGTTATACCTAATATCAAAGCTTAGGATTATGCAGCTGTTAGAAAAGAAATTCACACCATTTCCACTACCTTTCGTAATAAAGGTTAAAGCTGTATTTACCCTAAGTAATCCTCAGAGCTTAAGCGTACGTATGTTTATCCTTCATTTGAGTTGGTCTTAGTATCGTCCAATTACCACTATATCTATCCCTCGATTAAGAATACCAAGCAAATACTGGGACTCATTTAAAAATGTCTTAAGTTTTTAAAAAAATATTTTTATTTGTAATAGAGTTGAAAATTAAGTGTTCCATTTTTAAATATCCTAATATTTCTAATACTGATTTTAATAATAAGATGTAAGTATTATCTTTGTTCGTTATGTAATAAATAGAGAGAACCATATGTCAAAGGCCACTATTATTTCTTATATTATTATCTCTTGTTTCATCCACTTTCATAACTCATGAATATTTTCTGATTTAGGATAACCTCAAATACACATAAATACATAGACTGTCATCATTATAAGGCATGCATCTGCGAGTATATAGTATTAATTATCTAATGACAAATTTAATAGCTTATCCAACATGTTTTTACTGTTTCAATATTAAAATCAGTTGTAAACAAGCTCATTACCTTGAAGTATATCAATAACTTAATACGTTAGAAATAAACGAATATTATAATAGAATATTTTTTATAGCAAAGTCCTCTAAATTCTATGATTTTATTGGAGAATTTGTTTTTGTTTTTCTTCCTATTGCTTTCTTTAATATTGCTACTTCTAAATGAACAGAAATCCTATAATTTACAAAGAAAAGATATTTTGTACAAAAAAATGAAAGATCGTTCAACTTATATTTTATTTTTATTTAAGTACTTCAAAAGATAAAATTTGAAATCCGTTCTTGACAGTGTCCGTAATTTCGGTGACAGGTTTGTCATTTGCAATCATCCATGTTGAACCATTCTGACCTCTCTTGATTACATCCAAAATTCCCGAAGTCGCTGACTCCACTCTGTGTAATAATAATTATGTATATGGGTTCATTACTGGTATAAAGAATTTATTTGTTACATTTCAAATAATAGGCATAGGTAAGATTGTCTAGACCAGTCTATTAATTTGAATAAAATAATATTACTTTGAGGATAAATAAATAGATATTTTTTTGTTTTTATATTGGACTTCTTAATCATTTGAATTCTAAATAACAATAATTATATATATAAAAAAAACTTAGCTCATAATGTCAGTAAAAATTTGATACCTACAATTATTTGTGTTATAAGTACAATAAATACATTAATGTCAAATCGAAATGGAGAATGAGTTTCAGGGTTAGCTCGCTATTTCCAATATAGTAAAGTGGCTTATAATATAGTTTCTAATTTTATTTCATTAAACAGTGGTGTAATCTAGTTTATTCCTCTTTTACGACATACTGGGAGTACATAAAATGACACATTGTATTCTTACTCTGTTTCTACATGGAGTAGGTAATTACATTAATTTTATATAAATGAGAGGTTGAAGCGCAACGTAACTCGTTACATTACCACATCAACTCAAATATCGGAGTAGGTATTTGAGTGTTCAATTATTGCCGATACCAAAATTTCCGGAATCAATTTAAATTTCCAAGTTTCTGTAGGTAATTTCAAATCTGTTACCTCTGATTAAATTTAAAGATTAATCGTTAACGGATATCGATAAAGTACTGGCTAATGTCAGCCATTAATGCAATACAATTGGCAATATATGGGTAAGGCCACAACAACAATAAACAACGAAATACATCTATATGAAATAGATGTATTTATATAAGTATTGAATTACAGTTGTGAATTACAAAATAATTTTTGAAATATGCGCTAAAAATTATGCATATAAAAATGTTATGAAGACTAAAATATTTCCCAGCTTAAACTTGTTATTTATACAACTCGCGCCGTTTATATGTTTGTTCTGACACATCTGTTCGCAAAATGTAGGAGAATGTTAAAATTATAAAATTTAATTTTGTCAATGTGAATATAAAATGGAGAGCTGGTGTCGCCCTTATCCATGCATTATTCATATCATAATACGTTCAATGAAATAACAATGCCAATTTACGGCAATGTTCTACGTTTCCACGATGTTGCTCGTATCTTCACATCTGGTTTTCATGAATTCACCGCAATAATACGGTAAAGTTGATTAACATTAGAACCTTATACTTACTTTTGTCTCTCGGGTCCAGATGTGGTCAGACTTTCTGGAACGTCTCTAGTAAAGCTTTCCAAGCCCAGTCGTTGCAAGATAGCAGTGTCAGTGGGCCCCAGGCATACAGTTATAATGCGAACTTGTGTCTTTGAATAATACAGCTCGGCCTGCGAAGTTCATGATATTAAGTAAGCAAACTTTTCTATCTACTTGTATTTGTTCCGACTTTAAATATGTTTCGTAAAAGAAAACGAAAACTTCAAAAATAAAATGGAAATGGAACACATAAGATTTTTCTAGACACAAACTTTCGTCTGGTATTTTTAGTCACTCATATAGAAATATAATTTAATAGGCATGTTTTATTCTGACCTTTTTATGACATATTTCATTACAATTATTACAAAACTATTTTTAATACACCTATTCAATAACTATGTTATCCGTGCTATCATAACATTAAAATTACTTACTGCCATTGCATTACTAAACTGTAACACAGCGTTTTTCGTCGCAGCATATACCGGTCGAAGTGGGTTTAGTTTTAGTGCTGATAAGGATGATATATTAATAATTACACCACCAGCACCACCTTTATCTGCTCCCATTATATCCATCGCTCTTAACGTACTGTCCACTGTACCAGTCTGAAATTAATAGAAATTATCACATTTTGAGAGATACAGTTCATAAACCAAATTAATGGAGATAATGGCGGTGGGTTCGCTTTGTGTTACATTAGATTTATGCTCAGCAAAATGTGGGCATTCGAGTCATTCATCACGATGGTAACATCATGGTTAACAAGCTCCTTTACCACCCCATCAGTGAGTTTTATACATTAAGGCGCACATTTTGTATAATTTTTATAATAATAAGTATGGCTTTAATACAATGCTCGCTAAATTACGGTTATTAAGTTCATTATTATTACTAGCGAGGAAGTTAATATTGATAATTTGATACAGTTATAATGTAAAAAGTATTATCAAAATTAGAATTAGTGGAGTATTTGCCCAACATAGTTATAAAAACAAAACAAACTTCCAAGAGCAGAAGTTTTTTAATTTAGACGAATTGAGAATCCCATCTTTTTGAACATCGCTTAAAAGCAATCGATGTTTTAATAATTATCTTTTCTACGAATTTAAGATTTATTCTGTTAACCTACTGGGCTGATTTCAATTCGCGAACTGTTTTCAAGCATTTTGTTCAATCTCCTCATTATGATCTTATCTTTCAAAGACGCGAACTCACAAAATTAATATCGATCATCCTCTTGAAGTCTCCGTCTGTGCCCAGGACCGCTGCGTTGTTTATAACTCCGTCGAGTCTCCGGTATTTATCCAGAACTTGCTTGTATGCGGCGGCGAGTTGTTGGCTGTCGGCTACGTCACATTTTATAAACTTAGCTCTTAGGGCGCCGAACTTGTTCAAGAGTTCGGTCTCTAAGGCTGCGCCCTCTCGCTCTGACACGTCGAGAAAAACGACACACTGTAATTGGAAGTTAACTTGGGTTTATTAAGTTATTACAAGTAAGGATGAAGATTTTGAACGTGTATTGTACTGTAGGTATCGATATAGATCCTTGAGGGAAACATAATAATATTAGTTTAGTATGTGAGTGGATATTTTATTACAGATATATTTTTCTTACTGCCTCATCGTCCGTTTTATGTTAGACTATGCACTGGCTAACTTGTTCATTAGCTAATAAAGACACTACTGAGTTGAAAGTATGGAAGCATTTGTGATTAGTATTAACCACAGATGTCCTTAATATTTCAATTATTTTAAATATACTATCGGGACTTAACACGATGCCACTGCACGTCCACGTTCACGTCCACGATTCACGATCCACGTCGTAACATCGACAAAAAATCAGATATTCAATAGTAATCCCAATAGTATCTATATTTAAAATATGCGTCAACAACGCGAAAGTTTCAAATTAACTATTTCAACTATTATCTGGCGATGACAGCTAGTAACTTCATCTAACGTCTGTAAAGTTACTAGAACACTATAAATTAATATGCAATGATAATTTAGATGTCCATATAAATCAAGATTTAATAATCTTATTGATATAGCATTCAAACTAATGTCTCCAACTATACGTTATTGTAACTTTAGTTGTATATTTTTAGCCCACCTGTCTCAGAATCATAATATTAAACATCTTCCATCAAGTTTATAGCTACTATAATCCCAAATTTCTTTAGCAGCAACAAATATAACTTTAAAATTTAACCTCTAATATCTCTCTTTTATTCGAGCTAAGAGCAATGCCAATTATTACTTGCTTAATGTCAGTAATAAGATTAAAATTATATTTAGTTAAAGTACTGATATGGCAGAAAGCAGTACTTAAAGTTATGATGCAAACAAACTTTTATTTAAATTTACCCAAACAAAGTTACAAATAGCATTTTTAAATCAAAACTAATAATTTAAAAATGTATATTCTTTCATGATAAATATTATGAAACAGATTTCCAAAGGACTATCTACTTGATAAAACATACTGTCACTGATAATATTCATCTCAAAGGTTGATTGTTAATAATGCTACTAATATTAAGTAAGTGTTTTGTACCATATATTCCATTAGGCAATAAAGTTGTTTAAATAAATAATTAAAACACTAATGATTGACAGACATTGTAAACGTATCAATATTAAAGAAATATAAATAAAATCTTATACATCTTATATAACTTGAAAACTTATACAACGTGAGCCCAAATAAAAGGATCTTGAAAATTCGTCATAAATATTGAATGAATGTTTATATGGAAGTTGTCAATGAGAATAATCATCAGTTACATGACTTTCAGCTCAATGAAATAGATTTAAATCAAAATCATTTGCATCTTTTAAGGAAATGTTCTAGTTCTAGTGAATAGAATGAATTTTCCAAAGGGATATACGAATATATCAATATATAACAAAAAATTTTGAATTTCCTGTAGTAAAACGGCGTATTCAGCTGTTACGAGAGGCTAAAAAACCATTGTCATTTTTGAGTTTTTACATTCGGAAATTTGTTTTTAATATATTCTATAGCGTGGATGGATTCTTAATTTTATATATTGATAGTTTTAAGAACCAAATAAAAAAAAATCTTAAAAGTCAACGACTTCAGTGATAAACTCACATAGGTGGGGCTTTTTATCGAATCGGATTATCACATTATCTTTAACCTATCAGAAAGTTCAAAACTACACCTTGTCATGATCACCTGTTATTTGTATATAGGTGCGATATATAAAAAAATATATACCCTGGCAAACTCCAGGAGCAATGATCTGACAATGCCTGCTCCTACTCCCGCGGCTCCACCGGTCACAAGGAAGACTTTATTTTCTATATACGGACTGTGAGACATTTTATCGTTCAATATAAATAATATCGAAATTCACTGCGACTATTATACGATTCTTTTAATACTTGTATAAAACAAAGCACGCAATATACTATTAGTATTTATTATAATCGAAACTACAAACAGGCACGTTCAACACAAAACAGTAATTTTATCAAACTAAGCAATTTCCACTTGACTGTTATCTATCTTTATCGATAAAAATCAATTTTCGATATGTTATTAGTAGCTCAGTATCAATATCATGTTTATTTATTCTTTATTACATGTTTATGTTTTTTTTTTTATAATTCTTGCATGATTTATTAATTTGTGTTATTACTATTATATAATATGTCTATTCAGTTAACATAGGAGTAGGCAATTCAATTTATATATTAATTTGTTTTTAAAAATATTTCTCAAATAAGAATTCTACTTTAATTATTTACATGAATTAAAAAGTAAGCACAATCGCTTGAAGCATAGGTACGTATAAATGGTACTGAAGAAAATCTTACTAATATAATAAAATTAACAAGACAATGTCTGTACATGAAAAACATTTAAGAAAAATTGACAGAAAGGGCAAATAAAATATTAAAAGATATAATAATATAGAATGGAGCAATAGAAGCCAATACAATATCTTTTTTTTTTTTAATTTTGTCAGTCTGTATGTTCGTTTGGGTATTACACAAAAAATACTGCATCAAATTGGGTGTGCTTTCAATTGTATTCTTAAAGGTCTATATTAAAATCTGATGCATATTTTATCTGGATACACTATCTAGAAATGATCCATTTCATTTGTTTCCCATCTTCTAAAATCTACACGTACGAAGTGGCGGAGAAATAATCAGTATAAAATAAAGCAATTAAAAGAAATTATTTTTTTGTCCTAACAAATAATCGAATCCGAGGTCTTACTTACCTACTTGCCACATACTAAAAATTTATAAACGACGACTATTTCTTATCTATAATATTTAATATGTTATTAATTATTGACTATTTAATAATTATATAATTAATAGTAATAATGATTAGATATCTCATGGATTTAATAAGTCTATTTATATTTTCTATATATAACTATTAGAACATATTTAAGTCCTAATAAGTAAGACGAGTATTTGATACTTGTTTTTACCTAAGACTTTATCCATATGGAAAGAATATATTGATCACTGAATTAAAATGTCACTTTATTCTTTTTCTATCCCAAATATTACGTGTATACCAAATTTGGTCATGATCGATGACACGGACAATGTAACAAACAAATTTATTAATAATTGTAAGAATTTATAGGGTTATTTCAAATTTGTTCTGTAACACATTTCGTTCATACTTATTTTAACTGACGTATCGTCTAAATGAACGCCCTAATTTTATAATATTCTGAGCCTAGAAACGACTATTATCCTTTCATAATACGTATTTTTCATAAATACCAATCAAAATATTTGAAAATTGTAAAATTATTTTTAGATTTTGACAGATATAATTCCAACGTTGCCAAACTTCGATATTCGCCCTTAAACAAATTCCTTTTGTAACATTACCTCAGTGCTCTATAAAGGAGGTATCTCAATCCAGCGCGGCGCACTCCATCGCTTTCCCCCGGGCGGCTCATTTCGACTCGAGGGGGTTGACGCGGCGAAGCGGTTAAAGCGTTGTGAAGTGCTGCAGCTATTGAATACGCAACAATAACGTCTAATAGTAGACCTGCTAACGACGCTAGAGGGTCATATTAAAAAAAAAATAAAAAAAAAAATAAAAATTATATGACCAATGCAAGTCTATAAAGATTTAGAGAGTCAACATTTAAAATATAAGAGTGATTTGATGGGACAATTTTTAAGACATGTTATCCTAGTACCTACACCAGTCTCTCACGTTTAAATTGTAACCTATGTAACTGTAAGTTTTATTTTGTGACAGAAATAATATTTATATTTATTATTTGGGCTGCAATCTGAGTTTTTGAACTCACTCCAGTTCTATATGGTCCTATACAAATTTGTCTAGGACTCGCAGAGTAGACGCAGTTGCAGGTAATAAATTAACGAGGTAGTTTAGACAAGAAGTGATTCAGTATATAACTAATACAGGGAATGGAGTTTTGTAGTTTCAATAATACTATTTGTTTTGATATGTTTCCTTCGCTTGTATTACGCATTTGTGCAATATTATTTCTTCAGAGCCGGCAAAGCGTACATGATGCGTTTGTGGGCACCCATAGGCTATAGTGACCGTTTACCATCAGAAAGGCTGTATGCGTATGTTTTATGATCTTAAAATAAGTGTGATTGTCATATAAATTGTTATAGCTATCTGTTTGCTTTAAATAAATAAACAAATTACCTCCAGTTTGGGATATACGCGACAACATTATATACATTCTAGGATGTTTGTTTGGTCTCGTAGAGTACAAAGCTGTTAATTATATAACATCGAAACGACATTTATTACGTCTCTAATGGAATTTAGAAAAAATTTTATTTACCTTAATTCGGATTTTTATTGTAATATATATATATATATATATATATATATATTACACTAGTCACTAAGGTTTAGTGTAAGCCCCAAGAACGATCTTTTTTATATTATACATCTTTGCGTTTACCTAGAATCGTATTATCCTTAAGGCAAACTAGGCACGTGCCTAGGGACGCGAGGTTAGGAATGGGCGAAATCCAGAATATTTCTAAAAAAAAAAATAAAATTAATTGTGTTAGTAAGTGCATATGTACCCCTACTTACAAAATATAAAAGATATTTCTACAATTTATCTAAATATTGGCATAACCTCAAAAATGTGCATATCGACGGGATCAGCAATTGCAATCACGAGCGGTTTTTTTCCTGTCTAAAAATTTTGTAAAAAATTATCTTCGCTCAACCATGAGAGATAAAAGATTAAATTCGTTATCAACACTTAACATTGAATCAAACTTATTGCTATCTGTAAACTATAACAATGTTATTGTTCCCGTGTGGTACCAAAATAGAAAAGGCCACCCCTTCTTTTCCCGAAGGTGTAAGAGGCGACTAAGGGAACTTAATAGTAGAGGGATGGGCAGCAGCGTTTCTCTTAAAACATCTCTATTATCATATATATTATTCATAACTCCAGTCATCAATGTTTACTACTAGTACTAATTAAAATTTATATATGTGACTCTCTAGAGAAGTGTCGTAGAGGTTTACGTAGGAACTTACCTGGGGCTTTATCGACATTTAATCCTCCTCTGCATTTAACAACTCATGTCGGTAAGTATTTACTAGTAAACCCTAGGATTTACCAATGTATGGGGTTTTACAATAACATATAGGTACAAAAAAATCAAAATTAAAATAAATTTGATGTTACAAAACAAAATCGTATTTTATCATGCATAGCATGTTCGTGTCTAATGCGCAGGCAGACGTTTAAAACATTTTATTTCAATCAAATTGCTTGCATACAACTCTGTATTTTTTTTAATTATTCCAAGCCTGCACATTCTCTCTTTATTAACATGTAACGTGGAAAACTGAGGAACAAAGGCGAACACTTCACTGTGGAAATGTTGCCGAGTCGGGGCAGCAATGCGGGAGAATTCTGTGGGCAAGAGCTGATTCATACTGAGCTAGTATTTATGTCAGTGGTCTAAAACATTTTAATGAATACAATTACTTACTTACTTGTCCAATGTTATAATAACACTAGTTGTTTTCCGCAATTTGGTCTGCGCCATGCCAGTTACTACTCTCGTATAATATTTGAAAAAAAAGACAAATATTTAAAAATTCTTAAACATGGCTCAAAACAAAAGCATCCAATCCTTTCAAGTGAACAACTTTTTTACTCGTACAAAGTCTCCCTTTAGTGGTATTGTATTTAGAAATCTATTTCTATAGTTGGTACCGTCATATCTTTCTTACAATATCAAAGTGCTGTATGGTTCGGTCCTCAATTAGGTGCTGGAATAAACTGTCCGTTGCCGGATATCCGACACCCGGTGTATGTGACACAGTGACAGTGTTAAAAGGGGTGATCATTAGTGATAGTGGAGGGTTAACACATTTATAGTATGATGGTTTTATAAGATGTAAAGTGTTACCTTAACATTTTTATTGTGTACATTAATATATCAAAATCTTTATTTGACATAAATAAGAATAAATGAAAAATAATTCAAATTTCTGTACATAATAATAGAATTTACCTAATGCTTGTTAATTTTATGATAGACTATAACCTTTTAGCATATCAAAAATACATGTTTTACGTATTATAATAATGCATTATTTATTTTATCTATAAAATTTAGATATTTTTCGACAATATTCCCTCTTAAAACGAAACCAAAGGTTAACTGCGGTTGCCAACTATTGGCAAACACCACCCCCCCCCCCCCTTATAAGGGAGGCCTATGTTCATCACTGGACAGTTAATGGCTAATAGAATCAATTTGTCGTCAAGCAAAAATGTAATTTAAAATTACGTAATGATACATCGTATGTTATCCGAGTACATGTGTATAATAAACTAATATACCTATTTATATTTTTAGGTTTATAATAGATGCTTAGGTAAATAGTATTGGTTGAGGTAGACACATGATTCGACGTCCTATATCTGGAATGGAATGAATAGATTACAGCTTTAAGTTATCGTAACCCAATATATGGACTACGGCAACCATTTACAATCAAACGAGCCCTATTTTGTTACTTAAGCGTTGGTATATACAATTTACCTACATTCCTAGATGCATACTTTCTTAATGCTATTTTTCAAAGGACATATTTCTTTTTATAATGGTACTGAAACGAAATTTAACCTAAAAGTAGACATTAACAGCGGGTGTCTGGCTCCAGTCTCCACAAACAATCAACATGGCGGCAAGGATCTTTGTTTGTAATAAAATAATGTTTGTTTTCAATATAGGTATGTAAGTAAATTATCAAGGTTTCAACTTATTCTTGTATTCTATTTTTTTTTTATAGATACCTAATACGACTAAAATTAAGTATTCGTATATTATAGGATTCGAAGATGTTTTGATTTTTGTTCTATGTTCATCTGTATACACAACCAATCCTAAATTACTAATTTTATTATTTATTTATATCATTTCTTGAAAATAATAATATGTTTAAATATTATTCAAATAGAGTAC